CATCTGCAACTAACTCGAAACTAAAATTCCTAGGAAACCACTTTAAACATATCTATTTTCTATCGCGTAGTGATAATGCTGAAGATATGCGAACACACTATTATGCAGAGACTTACTTCCAACAATTATATGTTTCATCTATAAAGAATAAGTATGTTTTTCTACTGCTGGATGTGGGATCTGCAATGAATATGGAGTTATTAGAGCTTACGAAGGCCTTAGGTAAACGAATACATATTTGTTAAGGTTATCGTTTGAAAGCAATTTCTAAACATTTATATCACTTTCAGTTACCAGTATTCTGCAACTGCTGTCGCCCACCGATCTTATTTCCGTGACAACAGTTTCCGATGAAGCACACATAGTGCAATTCGATTCCTATCCTAATGAGGCATCAAATAGTGTATTTTACGCGACACGCGCCCGTAAAGAGGAGATTCTTAACTACATACACTCGCTTGTTGTGACGAAAGGCCAAACGAATCACTCTCTGGGCTTCGAATATGCATTTAAGTTGATTCATCAACTTCAGAATAGCAGTGTGATCACGGAACAGAATCCCATACAATTCGTGTATGTGACCCGTGGTCTACTCACTAATCTATCCGATACAATGCACGTCCTTCAGGTGATTTCCAACGGCCAGCGTAAGTTGATTGATCCGATTGTGATACACACTTGCGCTGTGGTCACTGATGAAAAGCGTATAATGTATGAGAAACAGTTTCTTGCTGATATCGCAACACAAAACTATACAAAGTACAAAATACCAGTAAACGAATGTTGCGAAAATGATGCGGAGCAACAGCAATTGATAGGAAAGTTTTTTGTACTTACCAAAGCGCAAATAGAGGATGTGATGCGGTTAAGTGTTGCATTATTTCAGCACATATTCAGGGAACGATACCTGAGCGAGAGTCTGGAGATCCAACTGCCCGTGGTTGAGCCAAATAGCCAAGGTAAGAAAAATATGAATTTAATGAAAATTAAGAACAGTAAATAAGTAAATTCATATTACAGACGCAATTATATCGGTCACGCATGCGGTACCCCCTTTTGGCATAGTAGGCGTGAATCTTTACTTAGCTGATTTGATTGAAGATGTAATCAGTTACGGAGAGCCAACGCAAAATACTAATAAAAACGAATTCAATTACGCCTTTCTCATCGATCGTAATGGCATAACTATCGCACACCCAGCTTTTCCACGGCCTATGGCGCAGTATCAGACACCCTTTCCTGTGGACATTGGCTTCTTGGAAAACTCTACAGATTTCACTTATACAAGAAGACGCATGTTGCACGATGAAAGTGGAAATTTGACGACGAGCGTTTATTTGACAAGGGACCGGAAGATCGAGGTTAGACAAGAATTGACAATATATATAAATTCATATGTACTTTACTTCTACTCAAATTCTAAATCAGCACATAATATTATCTCTTCCTGCAGTATTTTGAACGCATTTACCACTGGCAGTCCATACTGGGTATCTACATACTATGCCTCGTATCCACTTATAAGCTTGAAATATCCTCCACTAACTCATCAGCGCCAACGAGCACTGACAACGCAATAAGGTTAACTAATCTACACACATCATCAAGTCTTCCGCTCTCTCTGCAGCGTTTCTCTGTACCTAAGGACAAACTGCCACGGTTCCATCACAGTGATTACGAGTATCTGTCGAGCATGGAGCTGCTCTATCATCGGCTGGACTTGGTGTCCCCACCTAACGGACATACTTGCCGCTACTTTCGTCAAGTGGGCACTATGGGTAGGGTTTCCGTCCAATGTGTTTTGAAATATACTTTACATTGTATCCTTTCAGATGCGCCTACACTCTTCTTAAGCGCTTCAGCTTTCATGTCTCCGTTTACTTTTTTGCACAATAACCGCGTTAATTCACCACGAGACCAAATACGTACTGTTGAAAGTATAATGGCCTACTTGAAAGACACCACCGGTCTCCTAGCCAACCCAGGCCTTCGTCCACAAATTCGACAGGAGGTGAATGCACTCTATAATGCCATGCAGCATTTGAAAAAGCGTCATCAAGACGCGCGTGGCACACTGAGGAATCACATAATACGCCGTTATATCGCCACTGTGAATGGTGTGCTGCAAGTCTACCCCGGCTGTCTGCTTAGCTCTAATTATGACCCCACTAGGCGTCCGTGGTTCCGAAAGGCTTTACAGCAGCCCGGTAAAATTATTACAACAGAGCCCTATTTAGATGCTGGCGGCGCGGGCTATATCATCACAATCGCACACACAATTTTTGAGGGAAAATCGAACGCTTTACACTCTGTCGAACGCGATCAACCGGTGGCCATTGTTGCGTTGGACCTACCCTACGCTTACTACTATAAAATGATACTTGACTCGACCCCACTTTGCCAAATGAAGCACATCAAGTGTCTGCTATTCGAAAACGAAGGCTATCTTATAGCGCATCCTAGTATGCTGGAATCTAGTTCTCCGCTTCGTAATCAACGCCGACCCCACGAGCACCTCACGCACAAGGAATCGTATTTAGCAAACGATATCCTCAATCACAAGACACTGGTGCGGAAATTGGCATGCGCCAACTACCAGAACCGCACGCTCCAACGTTACTATGTGTTCAACACATCGCTGGGCGACATCCTGACGAATGTTGTGCACGGCGAGCGCACAAAATATGCAATAGCGTTGGTGTATGGAAGCAATATTTTCGCTGCTGTACTGAATTCGACTTGCGATGGCGGCGCCTTCTGTCCCTGCAGCACTATTGATCGCGTGTGCTTGAATTGTAATCGTATGGATCAGATGGACTGCGAGTGTCCGTGCGAGTGCCCCATGGAAATGGAAGCCTTCAATAGCGTGATTGGTGCCAGCCACTCCGACACTTCAGAATCGACTGTGGAACGCTTTATCAACTACACCCAACAATTTGCGTATTGCGAGCCGCCAAGCGAGCATTTCATTGCGCTGCCGCCTGTCCGCGCAGAGCATCAAATGCTGCCTTCTTGCGTGAACATCAACTGCGATGTTTATGGAACGCAGAGCGAGTGTCTGGCAGTGATGGGTTGTGAGTGGTGCCAGCAAGATGTGGACGGCAATAGCTTTTCCGCTTCTTTTTGCGCTGCCCAAGCGTCTTGCTTTAATGGTTGGTGAGAATCGCTGATGTATTTCAGAGGTATTTATATTTTTATTCTTGCAGGTGTGCTGTCCTCGCTTACACCATATGGTGATTTAGACGATGTGGACATAATTGCTGCCCATAGCTATAATCCCAGTCAAAAACCGAATGCCTACTCCGCTTTCGGACCTGTCGGTGGTGCTATTATTATCCTAGGCATCGTTATTGGCTTTGCAATTTATTGTTACCGCCACAATATGGACTCGCAATCGCAGGAGCAGTTCTACGTTGACTCCATGCAAGAAGAGAATTATGGACTTCCCCTATCTCGCTTCAACTTTGACGACTGCCAAGCACATGACGAACCACCCAGCGGCAATGGTGGGTACGAACACCCATCGGCACAGCGCAACCTCATACATCCCGCCGATATTTCACCTTACCACATGTCCACTGGCAGCAGTTACCGACGACCGCCCAATGGCGAATCGGACCATGGCTACTCCACAATGACGCCACATGAAGACTCATCAGATCATCAGTGCTTTGCCTTGGCGGAGCCATTGTTGCTGCACGATAAACGCAACAGCAAATCAGACACTATGTCCATATCAACTTCCATATCGAGTCCAACAAATCGTCACCATCAACCGCAATATCAAAATCCATACCTTAACCATCCACCGCCAGCGCCCACGCAAGCAAAGGAGGTGGCAGCGGTAACGCGCTATCAAATAAACTCGCCCAAGAAGTATCAGCAGGTGGCAACATCAGCACGACATGTGGGCGATGGAGGGCCTGTTTATGGCCAAACAACTTTGCCACTGAACGACTCGACGGAGGACAGTGTGATTGCACCGCGTTACATATTAGCGCCGGTGACGGTTCATCGACACATGGAGCCGACCGAAACGTAGTTCCGTAGACTCTTGGTGCATTTTAGTAGAGTTAATCGCATCACATGTTTTAGGTTAGGTTTTAAAGAAAATTATAAGCACAAGGAATTGTTTGTTTAACACAACTGAAAGGTTTTGTAGCACCAAATAAAAAATAAAAGTACATATACATATGTATTATGAATCAGATGTACATCTAGCGAAGAAAATCGAAAAACAAGTACTTCCAAACGCCTTTGTGTTAAGCAAATATTTTTTGTGTGCATGTTCATTATTTTAATGCATCCGCTTGTTTGCCAATTAAATGCTAAGTTCTATATATATACAAATATGAATAAGTGTAGTGTAACTACTAGGCATTTTATTTTTTAATAATGTTAAGTTTAAAGTAAAAAGTATTAAGAACCTGTAGGCGCGCTAATATAAATATTTTATATAAATGTTGCATTTAACTCTACACTGTTACATGTTACCTACGAAACACAACTCGAACCTTTACTACCTGCAAAAATTATCGAAACTATTATTTTTGTATTTTTTTACGTTATTTTAATTACGTGAAAGTGAAATTGTTTGACAGCTGCGCATGTGCGCTTAGCAGGTGTGTCTCCATACAAATTGTAGCCAGTAATTGCGCGTTGCGACTGCCTGTTAGCATATCGAGCAGCAGTAATCAAAGTTTTCCATTTACTATTAGACGCAAAATAATATAAATTTGGTTTGTCACTTATGTATGTACATATGTATATACATATTTTGCCTGCATTGTTTGTTGAAGTGAGACGTTAGTAAATCTTAGATAAGTATTACATGCAACCATCCATTAGATATACGAAATTCGCGAGCATTGTTGAGAGAGAAGAAATTGGCTTTCAACTTTTAAATTGCGATGAAATTAAGTGACTTAATTTGCGTTTGCAACTTTTTGTTGTAATTCGTTATTTCATATATATTTTTACGTCAAGTTAAAGAGCATTTCTATGCATGTACTATATGTATGTATGTCTTACAAAAATGTTACTAAACATCTTAAATAAATGTATGTACTTACCCCACAGAGAAAAGTAAAGTAAATAAAAACACATAAAAGGTGTAAATACAGACGTTGCTTATGTAAGTACATAATTATTTTAATAAAAACTGTTTACTCAAATTAAATAATATAAATTATGAACACCTAAATATTTACACAAATTGATGGGCGTAGAATGCGTCTAAGACACTGAGGATTTTTTAAGAATAAATAAATTTTCAGATATTGATAAGTGAAAGTAAAGAATCTTGATTTTTATTTAACTAAGGCTAGGCTGTTTTCCCGATCTACGAGCGACCTAAAATTGCCCTAAAAAATCGAAAATATTTTTAAACTGTTGCCATTCGATCTGAGAACTCGTCCTCTTTCTTTAGCTTTATGCCAAATATTTCAAGACTACTTTTAAAAGTTCCTTAATTAACTCAAATTAGATACCGCTCGCACCATGGCTTGCACGAGCCCACATGATTTTTATTTTATTTTATTAATAAACGTCACACAAATTAAGAAAGTCCTTGGCTGCCAACCGCACAAAAGACTTAAGTCACGAACTTGCCTGAGCTAACAAAGTCACGGGTAGATTTTTGCAAGCACAGCATTCGGTTCGTCTTTTATTTGCTACAACAACAATCGCTGTAACTACAACAACTCGCTAAATGTCAATAAGCTAGCACGATAACATATCAGATATCAATAAAGTGGCGCGTCAATGAGGACAGCCTACTTGCGCGAGCAGCGCTCTGCGATAAAGCAAACAAGACCGGCAAAGTGGAGTACGACCAACTTTAAAGTAGATGCGATGCTACGACGACGACCACTAAAAGCCTTACATATAGATATACATATATGTATGTAGGTATGCATGTACATAAGCGCGCTCAGGAATGATGGTCCAGCTGCAGCTGTAATGGCGTGAGTCCAGCGGCTTACGCGAGCAAGTTAAGAGAACACGTTTCCACAGGCGCAGCGGCTGCGGCAGCGGAGGAAGAGACACGAAACACTCTCACCGCCACTTTCATTTCACGGCTCGACTAGCTGCTAGACGCTGCTGTGGCTTGTGTCAATATAATCATTGTTTGTTGTTCGAAATGTGCTTAGACGCATGGGCATATGCATGTATTTATGTCGGTCTGGCAGCGTGCACGTATGTAAGTTAGTAGCTCGCTAACTGCTACATCCGTGGCGAGATAATATTGCGGCGCTGCTGGAGACTGCAACCGTTGCCGTTGATGACATTGTTTAGCCGCTGCAGCCACGAAACTGAGTGCAATAACAAAACACACTCTGATTTGAACGCCACAGAAGTGCAGACGCGCGAATTTTCGATTATCCAAAGAATTAAGAAAGTTCGTTTTTTTTTTTGTTGGAAACGGCTTTTTCGACTTAGGCTGCAGCAATGGAAAGTGAAAAAGTGCAGGTGCAAGTGCAAGTGCAAGTGTCAATAGGAACTAAAGAAAAAAATATTTGTAATCTACGTAGAATTTTGAAAATCAGCCACCCCTTTGCTGCGCAGCAGCAGTTCTTCTATTCGCCAGTATTCGTATTGGCGCTTAATATTTTAGTACTGCTGCCGGTGGGCGCTGCGCCTAGTCCCTCTTTGTCCAATTCAAATTTAAACTTTCCTGCCGTTTGGCCTCCCAGTCTTCAACACATCGATATTTGGAATGCAGCCGAGCTGCCGACCAATGCGGGTGCGCAAATGTTCACCGCGGAATCGGAAATGCTGCTACTCCACGCCGACACGGCCTTCCAATATAGCGGCACACACCTTGACGCGCCTTTGTTAAACGTAACGGACAATGGCCCTAGTGATGTTGAGGCTGATGCGACATTTGAAGCAGCTGCCGAGGGCAACCGTACACAGCAAACGCTGCACAGACTAGGAGGCAAGCACCGGCAGGGTGAGTAGTGAATTATTATTTTTTTTTTTATTGAATAAAAAGTGTATAATCTACTTGCAGGCGCTGCGTGGAATAAAATTGAAAAACATTTGGGAAACAACACAGTACTCGACGTGCCGAGCAGTCGGCAAAATCGCGGTGAGTAGTCTGTGCATATTAGTGCTTTTGTGCAATCACTTTCTCCAACAGTCGAAAGAAAAAGGAAAAGTCATAGATTAGCGTAGATTTGCATGAGCGCGCCGCACTTACGGAGGCGGGATACTTCAAACCAACGGTCAAAACGTAAACGCGAACTTGTCACACAGTCAAACAAAAATCGAAAGCAGGTTTTTAAAAATAGATAGAGTTGATAAAACAACCCTTTTGTCTTCCCCGAGTTCAGTATGAACTCTCGCACCTCTTTCAAATCTATGCACAAAAAATAATTAAAAAATACTATTAGGAGACAGTTTTAAATGAACGACGCTCTGTGGTGATATTTCATTCATTTCTTTGCAAAAGCTGAAATTCTCAGCAGCTTTATGTAAAAATGGTAATTAAGTAATTGTGTCTAAAGTTACATAGGTCAGATCCGCATAGCTTGTTTGAAGTCCTTTCAATTTGACGTAGAGCTATATTTGTCTACTGTGAATTTCCTCTGTGTACACCGGTAGACATTTTTACAGAACTTGCCCCACAGCGTCAATTTCATATGGCTAGAACAACGGAAATAATTAAGTCAAAAATTAACTCACGGCAAGCGGTGGTGTCGGAACTTTCCCAAAAACTCTTGGTTATAATTTGCATCATAATTTATAACCACATTCCGGCCAACTTATTTGGTACCATTATGTACCAGCTTTTTCTTTATATGCTGTTGCCTGCTATCAGAGATAAGGGCCAACTTTACAGTGCCTTGACCTTAATTGATTTAACCTAATTTGCCTCTGATATTTTCAATCAGTACAGATCGCAATAAATACAGATCGCAATAAATGTGGTCGATAACTACTCCCTGCAGTTCTATAGTTATATAGAGTTGAAAGTTGGTTTTGGGCTTTTTTAAAGATGCCTCCCATCAGACGTTGCTCTTTTCTCTCAGATTTTCTATTAGCATCTAGTACCCTCTAAACTCCTTTTCAACTTTATCTTAAAGCTTAAATAGACGGCAGCGTTGATCCGGATTAACGCGGACTTAATCCAGATCAACTGCAGTTAATTTCCGAGTTGATCCGGATCAACGCTGCCGTCTGTTTACGCTTTTATACCTTTTGGTGCAGATCAAATAGGTGAGACTCATTTTAGTCCCTTTCTTGGAGAAGGTTCTCAATTTCGAAGTCAATTTCCTCGGCGTTTCTGGCTCGCCAGAATCACGCATGATTTGAGATCCGATGAGTTAACCCGCGCCAGACCTATTTTTACGCTTGCATCATTGCGCAAGATAGTCTCTTCCATACATTTTTTGAAGTTATGAAATTTGGAGCTATACAACTGACTCGTCGCCTTTTGCTCCATTCATTCAACAGTTATCCATCTGTTTCCTGTGCCGGTCGATGGCGAATGTCTCTCGGATGATGGTCGACGCATCGGGAGTTGCTTCAATGCCTACGAGTGTCGCGCCAAAGGTGGCACCGCAAAGGGCGAGTGTGCCATGGGATTCGGTGTATGTTGCATATGTGAGTAATCATGAAGCGCTGACCTAAAAAGCTGTATGCATTTTTTAACTTTTCTTCCATCACAATCGAATGTAGTCATCGCCAGCTGCAACACCACTATCAGCAACAACATTACCTACTTGGTGTCACCACAATTCCCCAGTTTCATGCCGAGCAATTTCAGCACGCCATGCAACTTCAAAATCGAACTGATGAACAACGAAGTCAGTCAGCTGCGCATAGATTTCTACCATTTCTCCATGGGGCAACCGAATCGACGCACTGGCGTCTGCGATGGGGATGTGTTCGCGGTGAACGGTGGCCCGAGTGGCGAACTGACGTTGTGCGGACAAAACAGTGGACAGCACAGTGAGTAACGAAGAGGTGGGAATTTGCTAAAAATCGTCCACAACAATTTTTTTCTTCTACAGTTTATTATGAAGTCGGTGGTGCTGCTGCCCCGCGTCAAACACTCTACGGTAATTTGCGGCCACTCACTTTCAGCCAGCTCTATCCGAATAGCAGCAGCAACTCGATGCCGGCCATTGAGATCAGCATGAATTTCTCGCAGCGCTTTCAGCCCATACGCCTCTGGGAGATACGCCTCGCGCAGATCCCCTTCAGCCAACGCGCGCCTGTTGGCTGCTTGCAGTACCACACTGGCACAGAGGGCATCATACAGGTTTGCGCATTTGTGTCCGATTTCAATACTTATGCGTTTTAATATTTTTGTTTTTCTCCCTTGAAGACTTTCAATTTCGCCGAGAATGGAAGACACTTGGCCAACCAGAATTACCGTATCTGTATGCGTCAGGAGCAGGCGATGTGCTCCATTATGTATCAGCCGTGCGACGAACAATCGTTTCGAATTGGACCAAGCAGCGCCGGCGATCCGGGAATGCTAAATATGGGCGTGCCTGCTTTGATGATGGATCCGATGTTAGCTGGAGTGATGAGCGGCATGATAGGTGGTGCGAACGGAGGTGGCGGCGGTGGAGGAGCTGCTGGCTCTGTCGACAATTCAGCGATGGACGCCATGCCCACAATGCAAGCGCCTACGCTCGCTGACGATCCCAATATGTTGCAAACGATGGATGCTGCAACCACCATGGCTGCGATGATGCCGAGCGCAGCAGCGCCGGATGCAACGATGGCTAGCGCTCCCACCCCAATGGATAGCAGTACATCAGCGGCGTCAGCAGCGGATAGTAGCGCGGCTACTGTGAGTGGAAGCAGTACTGCGGCGACGGATGTGTCGAGTAAGTTTTGTACAAAAAATTCGCCAATCTTATATGTATGTAAATTTTGTTTCTGTTATTTGCTTTCAGCGGCCGCTCCAGCCGCTTCTGACGCACCCGCTGCGTCTTCGGAAGCACCGGCGCCCGCTACCAGCAGCAGCGCAACCACTTTGAACACGCGTAGAAGCACCACATCCACCACGGCCGCCACCCCCTCGTCGTCAACGCTCAGCGATGAAATCGCAGACGAAGGCTCCGGAGACAGCGATTGGACCGGCAGCGCGCCAACGCGTCGCCCAGGGCCAGTACGCGGTGGCTTCGATCTGCTCGGATTTCTACGAAGCGCTTTCGATTTTAACCCCTTACGACGCAGTGGTCGGCAAGTGCTGGTGAGTAGTCAACAAAATAACAGAGCTCCTTTGAAGGCGCGTCAGCTGTACTCGCGCTGCACAGATCGCCTCACCATGCCGTGCATAGTGGAGGACTTTATAGGCATGGGTCCGCTGGGTTCGCCGACGCTGCCTGGCTGTGAGCCTGTGCACTGCGGCTCGCAGTTTTGCTCGAGCGGCGCGTGGCCGTGCCGCATCGAATCCACCGTGACGCCATTCTATGTTGGCGTGCATTTCGGCAGTGGCGCAGGCAAGGGCAGCGCAGAAGACAACATTGGCGCATGTCTGCGATACCAACAGGTGGAGTGCATGTGAGGCAAAAGAAAGCGGAGAGCGGCAATGGAGTAGTGCAACATATTGCGCAGCGTATTTGTTTGTATGTAGGAGTGTGTATTGTAATTAAAGTGCAATTTTTTAATTTATGTTAAATTAAAAGTAAAATTCAGACAAGCGATTTTTACCTTTTTTAAGTATTGCCAACTGGCACAAAAAGTTGGAAATTTATTCCACGCCACCAAAGTCGGTTTACAGACTTATTTATAAAAATTCTTTTTTTGGTTTTTTCTGCTTTTTAAACAAAGCATTTGCGATTATTTATTAATTTTTCGTCAATTACGCTACTGGAATATCAATAGTGATGTATGTATGTATTTCACTTCTCCACTTTTGTAGACATTTATTTATTTCTATAGCATGTACGAATGCATGTGTTACCAACAACAATTAAGCTTCATTTAACTAATCTAGAACAAAAAGAAAACTATTTTTTACTTTTTAAGCAGCTGTAAAATTTTTTGAATACAAATTTACATATAAAAAGGTTACAATACTTTTAATACAACGGTGACACGCATATGCACACATATTTATATTTTATAATTATTTATTTAGCAGTCGATGAACACATTCTGAGCATATCAATTTGCCTACAAGCATTTTTTAATAAATTTTTATTTAATTTTTCCATTAACTAATTTTTTCGAACTAGTTGGTCCTTTCGCTTGTACGCAGTTAGTTTAGTGATAATTTTCGCAGTTTCAAATTTTCTTAATGATATGTTTACATTGTATAGAAGCCAAAAAAGCATTTTCTTGAATATATTTCGTTTGTATAAACTTTTTTTTGTAATATTTTCTTTTTTAAAATTCGCATTAGTTTTAAAACCCAACAATAGCCGAAACAAGTCAACAATTTTTATAATTAATGCAATATTTTTTTACCTAAAGTAATTGAGCTTAGTTGCGATTTGTGAATTTAAAAACAATAATATCCGTTGACCATCTATCTATAGACACTTGCACCTTTTTATTTAAGTTTTGGTTTTTTTAATCATTAAACTGTTGTTTTATGAAAATCTTGAAAATTTAAAAACTCATTGTGCAAATGTTGGAGTACAAAAGTACAACTCTGCAATATGGCATTCGAGATTTAAAAAGGGTTAAATAAATTTACGCAGTTTTTTTCGAAGTCTACTGATTTAGGTAAGAGACCTGTAAAATATCAATAAAAATGTCTGGCAGTTTTATGTTATTACTGATAGTTTTCCGTTATAGTTAGAATAGCATTTTATAATTTTTAGATAAAGCGCGTAAACTTTACATTATATTATGTGTACATCACACATACATACATACATTTGTATGTATGCATGCACATATTTAAGTAGGATATTAGTGGATAAATTTTCTTTAAACTTGCAAGTAATTTGCTTTGTTACATAGAATTTCACTGAATAATTATAAATGTTATTATGTGTGTATGTATGTATGTATGTATGTACATATAAATGCATATATGTATGTATGTAAATTAAGCGGAAGCTTGTTTGGAATCGGTTTGAAGCTTTTATTTTCCTGATATTTTCCGTTAAATCTGCAGCTTAAAGAACAATACAATTTTTAATTTATTTTTACGGCAAAAATATGTTGAGCTATGATTTACAATTAATTCGCAACTCTTCATTATTATATGCAATTATTTTCTAAAAATACTTTTCTGTATGCATGTATATATGTTTTCTAAAACAGAATTATTCTTAGATACATATTTATAGCTTTTTAATCGGCGGATATTTATGATTTGTACGTGTAGTTATAGCTTAAATTTGTTATTTTATTTTATTTAGTTTAGTTTTTTTCACTATTTTTTATTTTAGCAGTAGTTGATATTACGCGCGCACGCGCATGTATCAGCCATGAATATTTTTTTACGGGAAGTAGATTTCATTAAGCATAGAATTAAGCTAAAAATTCGAAAAAAGCTTTAATGAAGACATACGAAAGCTTGGAAAATTTTTTCAAACAAACAATTTTGTGTTTTAGCTAAAATATAAATTTAATAAAAAATAATACATATTATATATTAATCTTATTTTTCCATATTCGAACGTTGACAAACGGTACTTTTTTAAAACAGCACAGTTAAGCCTTTAATAATTTTAATATTTTTTTTTTTTATAATCAAAGTATTTTTTAAACATATACATATTCGGAGCAGATAAAATTTTAATCGAATAAAAAGAAAAACGGCAAAAAAAAATTAAATAAATAATTATAAATTTTTTTCGCTAAAATAAAAAATCACATTTTTTTAATATGGATTAAAAAGTCAACGATCACAATAATTATACATTATACATATCCGATTTGATAAGATCACACGATTTGTACATTTGTACAGATTTTACAGATTTTGGCAGTCACACAGTGGTGTTGGTTAGAAATAATGAGTTCAGCTCAATAACGACTTTCCAAACAACACCACTCTGTAACTGTGAAAATGTACAAATCTGTACAAATGTACAAATCGTGTGATCCCTGCTTAAGAATAAAAAAATTTAAAAACAATTTTTTGCATACCGCTTAACTTTCACATTTTTACCTGCTCATAAAACAGTCAAAGCTTTTTCGGAAACTAAAAACTTACACAAAAAATTCGAGCGAATAACGATAGCTGGAGCCTAAACTCGCTAAGTTTAAAATAATTTAGAGCTAACCAAACGCACACTTTTGAAGCGATTATACATACATATCTTAATTAATAAACGTATTTTTGAGTTGATTATTTTTAAGCACACAGTCGTGGCTCTCAACACCAGTGGCGGCAGAGAATAAAAATTCTCCCTTCTGAGCCACCTTATGGGAAGAGTTAGAAGTCCTGTTGCTGTCCGCGCTGCAAGACATTGTTGATACGCAGACGTAGTGGCGAGAAATCGATCTTCTTGAAACGCGGCAGCGAAGCGAATTTTTTTACGCCGCCTCCTAACCCGCTACCGTCCGCAACGGCACTGCAACTATCAGCCACTTTGACAACATCGGCAGTAGCAATGCTTGCCACGCCGCTTACGCCAGCCATACAACTCTGATGAATTTCCAATTTGGAGTTTGTCACGCTGGTTGGAGCTGGAGGAGTCAACGACGGACCGCCGTCGCTACTGGTCATCACATCATTTTCATTTTGCCGTAATTGCAGGTTGTGATGCAGCAGATTTTCGTAGATGCGCTCCTTCTCGCTACTCAGCTGCTGTTGTTTTACCGTAGGTGATGGCGTTGACTGCTCTCCCACTGGACTCTGCTGATCTGCAGCTGATTTTGCGTCATCGAATTTAAAGTCAATCTTTTGTAGCAAAGCGATCTGCAGCAGCTCGGTTTGTAGACGATCGCGCATAACTTCGGCGAAGTTAGCTACATTCGTTTCGTTATTATTGTTCAGGTTCTTATCGACGTTGTGGCCTTTGTGCTTAGCATGTTTGACAGTGTAGACATGCTCGGCAATTTTCATAGCACCCGCCCGCAGCGATTTTTGAACTCTGCCATTTTTCTGCGAGTTTTTGTTATCGATTTCCGGTGGATAATTTCCACTTTGGCGTTGCTCAATTATGCTTCGTGGAGATGATATGTATAGATTATCTTTACGTTCACGAGGTATTTTCAATGTGACCAGTTGACGTAAGCCGACAGAGGTTGAGGCAGTGCTGCTCCTCTGCAAACACGTGTAAATTAAGAAGGATTTAGAGTACGGAATTATAGAGCGGAAACATGGCATTCGTTCAGGCAAGAAAAATTTCTAAACATTATTAAAGAAACGGTTTAGACACAACAACAAAAGTAGGGAAGAAGGGACGCGTTTGCTCATAAACTTCTTTTGGATTTTGTTTCGAAACTGCGTTCAGTTATCTGCTGCATAGTTTTAGGCACGCCATTGGTTCGCAAAGGCCATTAGACAAATAACGGATATCTTGTATTTTTCGAAGCTCTTCAGGATGAACAATAATTACAGACAAGTTTTTTAACAACAAATATTTCTACTAAAATTCAAAGATACGCCTACATTAGAAACGAATATAAATTAGAAACGAAATAAAGACAAAAACCACAAACAAAATTCCATTACCGACATACATACATGCATTCCTATGCACATACTAAAAAGCAAAAACAAAACACAAATAAATATTTTAACGAAAATAATTTGTATTTTTCTTCTTTTTACAAGGTGTGCCTACCTCGGTTGTGCTCGCCGCTGCTGTGCTGGTCGCACCAACGGTGGGCGAAGTATTATATACCGCCATCTGTGGACTCGCTGTGGCCAATGTGTGATGGCGTCGAGTCTTAGCGGTATCACAACTATTTGGGTAATAGGAGGGAATCTTCTCGTCGACACTAATTATCGACTTCCGCGGCGTTTGGTAGTAGTTTTCTTCTTCCTCCAATTGCTTCTCGTTGTCCGCAGTTGGTTGGGTATGCGGCGATTCGGTGGGTGTACTTGTACTAAGTGCCGTAGGTGGTAGCTGCAGCTCCAGCTCTTGCGAAGCTTTTACGGCCAACAAATTTTCGTACAAATTACCCGTAAAATCTGCAATGTTGGAGGTGGATGTCGAGGCAGTAGATGTAGCAAGTGTATTGGTGTCATTGGCTGTTTTTATTGTACTTTTATTGCCTGTGGTCTCCTGTTCGCTATTTGATGTATGTAAGTCCAACATTTGTTCATATATGGCACTCTCCTCTGCAGCTACTGGAGGAGGCTTGGGAGCTGCTGAAGCCTTGGGGTCTTCTGCGGAGGAAGAACTTGTCGATGGATTAGAACTGGTTGAGTAACCAGACGAGGTGGGCTCAGCAGGAACTCTTTCTGTCCCTGTCGGTAGGACTTGCTTTGGTCGAATAGGTGCCATCACACAGTAGCCTGTTAGATCGTCTATCAAAATTTTATTCTTTCTTTGATTGCTTGTGGGTATTGCGGCACCATTAGAACCGATTAAGTTTATACCAGATGAATTAATGGCTGAAAAATTAAAATTATTTGGAATTTTTTCAGACACATTAAGATTATCAGTTGATATTCTGCCA